ACAAAACAGAGGCCACACAGGAAGAGTTGCAAACCGAGGTCCCCAAGGGGCAGCCTAGCCTGTCCTGTTGGCAATACGCAAACCTTTTTTCATAAACATCTCCTTAAACAATTCAAAGCGAAAACAAAACTTCGGGAATGGTTGTAAAACGGTCCTGTTTCCGAATCATGGCGCTTTTCCATCTTCGGGTCTAGAGAAACTTGTTTGATTAGTGACTGACGGTGCGGGATTCACGAAGATCATGGAGCGTCCTTGGACCTCATGTGAGGCAGAACGCATGTCGAATCCCATCTTCTGCACGAACCGCTGCGAGGATTTATTTTGTGGAGGATTCATCTCGCGCACATCAGGCTGGACAACTTCGTCTGCACGGCTAGAGACGTGTGTTGTGGGAGGTGGACTAAGCAAGTAACCTCACTCGCCCAAAGAGAGATCCAGATCACACGTCCGCTTCCAGTGCGACGGCTGCGCAGATCATATTTCAGACGACCCTGGCCTTGGCGTTGGCCTTGGTAGCCTGCAGGAAGCTGGTGGGCAAACTTTCGAGAGCTAGCAGGGGGAGTTCACCCGCACAGGGGGGGTCGGGCGAGCATGCCGCCGGGGCTTCTCCCTGCGAGGGGATAGCCCGGCAATTCGCTTTAGACTCTACCGACTATCTTTTTTGGCAAAGGGACAAACTTTCTTAAACTATCGGATCTCAGATTCACTTGCGTTTTTGAAGCTACTAAGTCAGATCGTTGCGGCGCCTGGCCCTCCACATGAAGATGAGAATGCTACTCGCGTGGAGGGTCCTGCTGCAACAGGGATCTCTCGTGCCGCCTCATTGCAAGACGGGCAGAACGGAAGTCAGCTCAAAGCACCTGCTCGCCGTGCCGCGTCCAAGGTCCAAGCTTGTGCAGCTTTCAATAAGCTGCCAATGGAGCGTGCGCATGCCTGACTAGCTGCTTCAACTTCCGACTCGTCAAATCCGGGACCGGCATCTGTTGCTGGATAGGTGGGGCGAACATGCAGGCTCGGCCCAGACACAGATTACATGGTCAACGATACTCCCGGCCTTCTGCATAGCTTTGCAAACCTTTGGGGCAGACATGGCGAGCATCTACGGGCAAATAGAAAGCCGACAGCGAGATCTCCAGGCCAGGCTCCGCTGCACGGAATTCTCCGAGCTCTCTAGACGCAGAGGAGAATTTGGGATTCTACAACCAGAACCTCCCCAAGCTATCTGCGAGATCCTTTTGTGGATCTCCAGCCTTGTAGTAAAATACCATGATCTCGACGGGAGAGCGACGAGAATTGGTGATGCGGCTTTTTGCAGGTACCAGGTCGGCGGCAGAGACGGGGAGCGGCTCGCAGTACTTTTGGCCGAGGTTCTATCTCACCGAGAAGCACGGAGAAACATGGGGGTAAGTTGTCGCATGGACGGCTGAGCACAGACTGGCGTGTACCGGGGAAATGCGCCGGCTCATCGCATCCATTGCGCTCAAAACTGGGACATTGCGGCAAAGAAGCTTGCAGCCCTTGTAGTATGCCGTGTGGGTAAACTCCCACCGTATTATGCTGTTCCTTTGCTGCAGCGCACATGTCTGGGAGCGTGTTGGAATCCCACAAGGCCCATGAAGACTTCTGCAATGCAACAAATCTTGGCGTGGTAGCTTCGCCAGCTCTATCTGGTCAACACGGTGTGCGGAGCTCAGCCCATACCCAAGCGTCCAGCAAGCTGCTCGTAGGCAACACAGGGAGGGTACACGGCCACTGATGCCTCAAACTGTTTATGTCCCTGTGCCTCTTACCGAAAGAGCCATCAGCTCCGTCCGAAACTTAGGCAAAAGTGTTGCAAAAGGAGTGCTGGCGGCTTGTCGGTCTTACCTTGAGGGATCACAAAGGCGTTCGAGAAACGCAAAGTCCTCAACAAGCTCAGCGATGCGTTCTCCCCGTGGGTGCAATGTGCAAGTCGCCGAACAGCCGCTGCTTCAGATGTCCATCCTCATGGCCTCTGCACGGCCTCCTGCGCTGACTCCAAACGGGTCATCTCTGGCCGCCAAGTTAGAGCGCAAGGACAGAAGGGAATGGCGTGTGTCAGCGCCATGGGTTGTGCACAGCTCTCGTCTTGCAAGCAAGGGAGGTCAGGCAACGACACCGGGAAGAGAGTCCACCTTCGCTACACGAAACGAAGACCAGGACCGGCCCAGGTCGAGCACTGCCTGGTCCTGGTCTTTTCCGTGACATTCGTTTAGGACCCCTAACAAGCCCAGCTGCCGGCAACGCTCGCGACTGCGGAAGTCCGCATCGTTACACACGTTGAAGGGCACCTTCGCCTTCGCGCGAGTCTCAGACAGACATATAGAGCTGTGTGGAAGCTGAAGTGAAGCATCTCAGCCACCCAGCCTCAACTTCGCACACTCACAAGCTCATTATATCCATAGCCTGTGAGTGCAAGAAGAAATGTGCAACCTTTGCTGACGCACGAGCTACATAATTCCATGGGGCCACAAGCATCCGAAGGACATTGTGGAAGCATGCACAGTGTTGATACAACACCCACAGTGCCGAGAATGCGGTGAAGTGAAAAAGGCTATTGCAGGGATGCCACCACTTGCATGCCTTCCACATGTCAGCTGGTCAAGATTTTCGTGGCCGGTGGAAAGCCACATGCCGCTTTAGCCCCTCCTCAGCCGAGAAGGGATTGGGAAAAGGATCTTCAGCCGCAAAGAGGCGTCATTTATCTCGAGCGATGGAAACTTCTCGGAAAACTATCAGTTGCGCTGTAACAACAGTTGCAATAGCCACTCTCGCTGCAAGCAGCGGATTCTGTATGCTGCGAAGGATATCGCCTTCACTTAGTTTACACTGGCTTCCTAGCACAGGTTCCCATCCTGATGTGCCAGGGGTTCACTTTCATGGAAGCGGAGACCTTCGGCTAAGAGATCAGCAGAGGCGAATTCACTGGAAACTTCTTCCGATTTACTGAGTTGGTTTTTGAGGGTTTTGACTTTCAAAACTGACGATTTAACCAAGTCGCAAAGCACCAATCTGAAAACAGAATAGAACAAGTGTAGAAGCGGATTGAGTCTGCAACAGAGCAGGGGGACTGCTGTTGCCAGGAAGACTCCAAATCAAAAACATTAGCCATTAGAGCTGCCGAAGGCCGTGCACGATCATCAGTTTTGGTTGCTTGCGTGGGTGCTTGACTTAATCACACACTCGGTGACCGATTCACGTACAGACACCCTTAGGCCTTATGCTACCGGCCCATGGACATGCACTTCCAGAGACCATCTCGAAGCATACTACCTCCCTGCACTGCTGGATCCGCGGCGTCCCTTGGAGCAGAGAGAAAGAGCCTGGTGCGACAGGTAGCTCGTCAAGGTGCATCTGGAGAAGCACATACAGGACCACACACGGCGAGCAACCGAAGCAACCGGCACACACTTGGACGGCTCCGCCTTAAGGCTCAGATCCTACGTGCAGGCATATGACCGCTCCGAGAGCTTTGGCAGCACTTGTATTTTCATTCTACATCTCGTGACCTGGGAGGGGACGAGAGTGGAAAGGCACAAGGATGCTTGCCGCCATATGGGGTTACACAAGGGATCTGATGGTGTTGTAGCCGTGTGTGGCCACGAAGGGCACGGCTCCGTCCGAACTGGTTATGCCGCCTCGCAGAAGCAAAGTCGGCCAGTCTTGACATGCGAAGCAGTGTCGCAACGACTTCGGCGCCTCTGACACCGGTCTGCGCAGTAGTAGACCAAGCCTGATGCAAGTGAGAAAATCTGACTCCAGATGACAATGACTGCGAAACCAGCCGCAAGAATCACGTGACCTGGAACCCACCACCGTCGCAGCAAACGGCGTGCACCAGCCCCTGACGAAGCAAGAAGTCAGCTGACACGAACTTGAGCGGAAAAACGGATTACCAAGATTACCACCAGTAGCAGTGCCTAGGAGGCTTGAAACTCAGCACCCCTAAAACCTAAACCCAAAAACTCCGCAGCTATAGGCTGGAGCCTGGCCTGGATGCTTTACCTGAGCTGGGCCCGGGCAGCGGCATGGCTCACGGAATTTCGACTGCCAATCGACACTTCTAAAATGGCCCGCAACAGTTCGGACATGGCCATAATTGACCGAACTGCGCAAAGCTGGCCGGATCTTTGCCGATCGACTGCTGGTCCAGGTTCTGTCCTTTCGCTTGCCCCTCTCTCTGTCCCAGCTCTCTTTGGTTGTCTTTATCTATCGATACCTTCCGGCGCTTGAGACCAGGGAGGCGTGGCACGGCCATCGGCATGGGCAATTTGCGAGACGGCATCACATGACCTCCAGGAGCTGCGGCCTTTTTCCACTGAGCCAGGCGAGGTGCCTTGGAGCTATCGGCTGCCTCCTTCGGAGGAGCGCTGAACTATGGGGGGTCCTAGAGGGTTTTGCGTTGTTTCCGGCTAGGTGGCATGGTGTGTGAAGGGCATGTCCGAACGAAGGACAATACAAGGACAGCCTCGGCTTTGTTGAGATGTCCGGCCAAACATGGAAGATCCCTTTAGTTACTGTGGTCCAGTGGTTGTCGTGGTCCTCGTCGTTGTGTGGTTGTGGTCCAGGTGGAGGCGGTGACCGGAGCAAACCAGAACGCAGGAACAGTAATGGAACAGTCCATGACGATGCTCTCAGACTTTGCGGAGATCTCGAAGACTCGTTCACTGAACATCTCTGCTCAAACAAGTCCGAGAAACTCTGGGACTCAGGGCAGACTCAGTGCCGGAAATTGCTGATAGGTCGGATCTCGATAGCCGTTTCTTCTGCAGTCTTCATCCGAGACAACCTTCTTTCTAAAGCTTCGTGAGCACACGCCAGGAAACAACGTTTGGATTGAAACTGGCGGAACTACGGCAGCCCATGCCTTGACATCGCTGACTTTATACATGCAGCTTTTCTGTTCTAGAGTGGCTTCGGCATGAGCTTCAGATTCATGGTGAGAAGCAGTCGACTCACATCGTCTGCCTTGACGCCTTTGGTCAATCCGTCCCGCGCATGGCCTTGCGATTGCGGCTGCAGCACTGCTTGGCCCGACTGATTCCACCTGACAGACCTCAAAATTAAATCGTAAATCGCAATCCTCGACCCTGGAGCCATCTTTGCATGACTCATCTTGCAACAGCGTTCTTGTGCTATTGCCTGCCACTTCCTCGTGGTGCATATCTAGCCGTTGCGCGTGTGTATTGCAATGACTATTGAAGGCACCAAGAAATGCACGCCACGCTTACTCCCCTGCCTTCTCCATCATCTTGTTAGCCTTCAGCTTGGTCTGCCTCTGTTCGGAGCAACGTGACAGCGCTGCTTTTGCTTCGTTGCAGGGGTGCTGCCTGATTTGTTCTCCGTTCTTCTTGGCCTGCTGAAAGTAGAGGTCATAGTAACCTGCGTGCACCGGAACATTGAAGACATGTCGAAGTCGGTGCATCGCATGTGCCAGTGTCTCGGCAGAGCGGCGCCAAGCATCATCCTGCTGCAGCTCTGCCTTCACAGGGGCCCAGCTCCAACGTGGACTTGCAAGCAGATGATTCGATATTATCTCAGCCAAAGAAACTGCCATGACTGCACATGGTGTGGCACCTTCACCGCACTGGGCGTGCGATGTAGCCGCCTGCGCAGAACTTCGAGGTCTTCCTGGCAAGCGTGCATGATCTCGCAACGTTAAGGGTTTCGGTCAGTCGCAGGATCAGATGACATTCTGCTCAAGCTCGTAGCGCTACATTGGCTGAATTCTCACTCGGCTTCTGCGCCTGCACCGCAGAGTAATGTTTCATGACCTCAGCAGGGAAAGGTCCGTGCTTCAAGTTGGCAGTGTCCGCTTGCGACACAGCGGAAGAGTGCCAAATATCCGGTGAATATCATGAGCAAATGCTGTTCCGCCTGCAAAATTGCCGCCGGATAATTGGCCGAGCTTCTGGTTGAGATCTGATGTCATTTGCCCAGCCCGAGGTCAGCCGATTCCTTGCCGTCGCAAGCCGATCGAACAATGCGACGACTAGGGGACCTCGCCTACACACCGGATTCTTCAAAGGCCCTAAAAAGCAGATGGGTAGCACTTATAGACTTATTGGTATGGAACAAACAAACTCTGCGGCTCTGTGGATGCCAAGCTAAGCGAAAGACTTCACCGAGCCCGCCTCAACTTTTCGGACCCTGCTGTAGAGCAAACAACAACAAAGAAAAACAAACTGCGCTGTTGTATGCGAGCTTCGGGGAACACGGCGGCAACTTCTCCATTGCCTGCAGCTCCTGCTGAGGACGTACATCTGTAAGGGGTGATTTTCAGAGGTACTATTTCTTCTCGGATTCCTCTGAAGGGATACTATAAGGGGCTTGCGACAAGGGTTGCTAAACGGTGTTCCATACAGGGATATGATAAGCGGTTAGTAGAAGGGTACCACAGGAGGCCAGGACAACTCGTTTTGTCATCATCCAGCCGGGTTGAATAGCTTGTGCATCGCGCAGAAGTTCCAAAAGAAGAAGAGCTGATCGATGCCGTGGCCAGCTTTCCGTCAACTGCACTCAAAATCAAAAATTCAATCAACATGTTAAACGCAACATGAGCTTCGCATTTAAGGAACCTGCCTGACCCTGCAAGTGGATGCTGCTACCGTTTACGGCGCTCTACGGTACTCTTCGAAGCCAAACTTAACAAGGTCCTCCAAGAAGGTGTCAATGGTGCCACCTGCATGTGCCAGTGGCTGCCAGGCAGAATGTTGTCTCTCTGCTCTCTAGATCGCTTTCAAAGGTTCTCATGCATTCACTCCTGCCAAGATCACTTATGCTACTGCTGTAATTCAGCTCCGCAGGTATGCAAAACGACTCGCGCTACACAACGCACAACGAGCCTGCGTCTCGGCCGCTAGCCCGAGCTCTTACCTCATGCTCGCAGCGTGCTGTATGCTTGATTTGTCTCGGGATTGTGGGATAAGATCGTTAATTGATAGCTGAGACTGCTGTCAATCGTGTTGTTACTTGAGTCGAGTTGAGTTGAGTTAGTGTGTGTGTGTGTGCGCGAGCCAACCAGCACTTACCTTGCGGCATGACTCCGACGTCCCTCTTAACTTCTCCGGCGGGCTCCGTAGTCGTCATCGCCCTCCCGTTGTTGCGAAGTTCACAGCAGCAGATTAAAGCCAGGGAATCCCACAAAAGCTCGAGCAAGCTCAAGAGCTCCGATAGTATCTTCAGTCGCTTTCTTTTGCCAGGACCGCTGCTTCTAAGCTGACGGAGTGTCGGTTGGGCTCCACGGAGGCACTGCGGCCGTGGCACATTATTATTGTTGTTATTATTATATTATTATTATTAATAATATATTATGATTACTATGATTATTATGAAGAGTTGGGGGGTCTTTCCTTTCACCTAGGCTTCCTAGGGCCTGGCCTGCGTGTCGGACTGGCTTTTGGCCAGCGCCCGCTCCTGGCAAAGCACGGAAAAATTCAGTTTGGGAGACTTTGGGAACGAAACGGGTCATATCTCAGGCTCCGGGAGTCAGCACTTCAAAAAGGGCTTCACGGCTCGATGCTGGGATTCACGGATACCTGAAGGACTCGGGCTCAGATGGCTCAGTCTTCTCCAAGCTTCTCCAGCGTTGAGTGTTGCTTTCTGGCGTCCTTGTAAGATGCCTTGCAAGGAGGCTTCGCCAAGGCTTCCAGGTAGGCTGCCTTGGAAGGAGCACAGCGCCATTCAGGGCCCCCATACGATTAGTCGCTGTTGCCAGCTATACGATTTCGCAGTACACACTCTGTTGCAAACGTCTCGGGCAGAAGATGCTCGTCTCGTGACAAGTTTCACAGTACAGTTTGCACAGAACAGGTTGCAAGGGTTGCATGGATTCCGTACATGGTGGCTGCTCCAATCCGCATTCCAAGATGATGCCACAAGCCAGCCATCCACCGCCCACACCCCACCCTCACCACTAACCCAACCACCCACCCACCGCCCAAGCATCCACAGGACTGGTTGGAAGTTTGCACGACAACTAGGTTTTCAGCAACCCTGATTTGTGATAAGCTCTTGTGACCTTGTGTGCTAGCTGCTACCATGAAAGCAAAGATCGGCAGTCCTAACACCGGGGCGATGGCTTTGCCCTTTCGCTGGATTCTGTCGCCAGGCAAGCTCCTGCAAGCTTCCCAGTCAAGAGCAACCTCGTGGTTCCTTGGCGCCCACGCGCGGGGGCCTCCCAGGCTTCGACGGAATCGGCCGATTGTCCCAGCCTTCCTGGCATGGCGGATCGCCCCAACTGTCTATCGTGCGTCCGTCGTCTCGTTTCCAATTTTCGCGCCTTGTAGCCATAATCGGACTGGGCCTGCTATGCTTAGCAATGCGGATTCGGCGACGGCACGAGATTTGTTGAAGCAACATGCTACCTGAACACGCCTTTCGCCAGCTGAATCAAAGCCGAGCTCTTCTCCAGAAAACTGTGCTGATTTCAAGCGAAAAACTGCTTTGCCCCACTATGGTTCTGCAAACGCCAGCACAGATGTAACCTGGAGTGCCTTTCCGAGGTTGTACTCGGGGTGCCCGACAATCACGAAGTCCGAGCGAGTGCCTGCAAAGTCCTGTCTACGAGACTGAAGAACCTACATTTCAGGATCGTGGGAGCGGAGCAACGGAGCAACGGAGCATCGGAGTAAAGTCTATTTAGGCGACGCCGAAAGCGCCTGCAGTGCTACCATTTTTTTTGCTTCGGGTCCGTCAGAGGCACTCAACCTCTTGGGAAATTACTCGGAATGACTGTCTCATGTTGTGTCAGCTGGCCAAGAGCAAGATGTGCAGGCAATTCTCTGATCTCCGCTTGGATTCGCTGAACACAGATCTTGCTCATTGCCAACGATAGCCTGGTGGCATCGGTCAAGAACCTTTGCTACAAGGGAGCCGGTCAGAGTTGGAACAATCCACACAGCTACGACATCCGCACAACGATTGTGAGTGCTCCCGGAGTCCCTCAAGAAGCGACTTGGAACTGTCCAAGAACTAATTCTGGCAGCGGTCATCGCAGATCGGTCCTACTATTGACTGTTCCACATCTAGCGCTTACATTCACAAGGTGGAAGCATGCTTACCTCATGTCAACTTGGCAACGTAGCATTGCAAGATCAATCAGGTACTGCACAACATGTTCAATGGTGCATTGTCTGTCCGCGTAGAAGTTGTTGATGAGACGAAGACCATACATGTCCTGGGCGAAAGTGCGATTTCAATGCCTCGCATTGGACTGAGCCATTGCAAACTGCGAACTGAACGATTGAGATTAAATTAGACGTACCAGCTGCCATGACATTGCGTGCTTGCGTCCCCTGCTCGTTCCTGGGAGACTTGGCTTGCCCCGCAACCGTCGCGGTCAAAGCTAAGAGCCGCACCAGAGAAGCGATGCCGTCGAAGCTGGCTCGGGTGCTTCCCGAGGTTTTACGAGACGGTGCAGAACAGAGTGCAAAGCATGTCATGAAGGCTGTGCCTCTGCTAAACATGTCAATGTGGATTTCATCTTGCAGCACCATGGTGGCTGCGCATCTATGCAGCTAGGCTAACAAGCTCCCTACGCACGTTGTTGAGCATGTGAGTCATAACATGACTACGAAATCTGAGAAGAGGCGGCGCGCTATGCTTCACGTCTGGTGATCATCTGATGTGAAGCAGAGTCAAGGCCTGCCACAAGCAGCTTCTTCCCACGTCCTTGTTGTTAGGATCCTACCCTGGACTCCCGGGGCCCGGTCTCTTCCTTTTCGACGCACTGGACCATGGCTCGCCATCGTCGCCACCGTCTTCTTCACTGCTGATCAGCTCCTCCCAGGCAACCCGAGCAGCATTGCCTCGGCTCGCTTGCACGTTGTCAGATCATGCACGACGGCCCAAAGTGTCGTCCATGCTGCTCCTTGTTCGTTACATGCTTTGCATGGGCGGTATACAGATATCTCGAGCAACCCTATTATCCTGACGGAGATCAGCTTACTTTCGCACCGACTCCCTACCTCTCACCTTTCGGGCACTGAGCTCACGGCCCGGAGACCGAACTGGAGAAGTATCCGCCGCCTTCGGACCCGAAAAACACTTCCAAAAGACAGGACGACCCCCGGCCGAGAGGGAAGCAGCAGCAGATCCAAGTGTCCGAAGAGCAAAGCTGACACGCGAACATCCACTGCAAAACAGCCTAGCCTATCAAGATCAGTCATGATAGACCATGAGCGGCTAGACCTAGGACACTGCCGCTTCTGAGCCTCCTCTAGACTGAAGCAGGGCTCATAGACCAAGGTTAATGGACCACTGGATGCCTTGAATACTCCAATGAACAGGAGATGACACCAGGACATGCTAGGATTCTCTGCTTGCATGTACTCCACGTGTCCGTGACTATAACCGAACAGAAAATGCTGCGCGAAAAAGATTGCTGCTGCAAAACATAGTCAAGTTGACGTTGTAGCATATCTCACTGTGATACGACATACCATAACACAAAATGATACACCGGATCAACCCTATAGATACGAAAATTAAACAGCGAAACAGAGGGGAGAGGAAATGCGAGTACAATGTATTCTTTGCTTGTGCTCGACTCAGTCTACTAGGCTACGTACATAGACTCCAGCACCACGACAAGCGGACAACCGCGTCCACTGCGTGCCTTCCTCTGGAGGATCTTCGGTGTTGCAACCGGCTTGGGCGCCTCCTTTCGAATTCGGCATGTCGGAAGCTGTCTCGACTTCATTTTAAGTAAAACCTTAGCCGGGCCCAAACTCTTCTAGTAACCCTTATGTAGCCTCATGGTAATCCTACACTGGTAACCCCATTTCTAGTACCCCGATTATCGCGTTGGCCAAAGCTTCATGCCGGGCAACCTTGGGGGGGTCTGGAGACCGCTCGCAACCTGGCCGGCAGGGCAAGAGGAAATCTCTGTCACGGCTCTTGTAGTTGACCCCAGCCTGCGACCGAAGTCGAAGACACTGACAAGGACAACACTCCTTGGCGACAGCAGGGCCGGGTCGACACCGCCGCCTACCGCTCTTCTCTTCAGAAGCCTGGGTACATCAGCGAAGGCTTGGAGGAAACTCCCAGGGCTTGCCAAGGCTCGCGTGTCCCAGTAATGTCCCAGGAGGGAAATGGCAGCATGGATGCTCAGACCTCGTTCAGAGCCAGTTTGTCTCGAGGCTTCAGAGGCCTTTCGGGCATTTTCAGGCACGGGCGTGGCATCAAGAGGCGCTGCCAGGGCGACTTCGAAAAGCTCTTGAAGCCCAGGAGACCTGGCTCACCGCTCGGTGCTTCGGGTTTACTCAGAGCCGTTCCGGGTCGGTGATCAAATCCCGACAAGATCTTGGCACGGAGGCTTGCAACAGGAGTCGAAACGGGTCTTCATGCAGCCTTGGGCCAGTGACTCCCGGAAGCCGCGCGGAAAGTCACGCTCGCCATGAAGCAGCACGACCTTCACACGGCTAAAGGCTGCATGCTTCCGAGACACATGTTCCTACAAAAGACCCTGCAAACCCGAATTCGGAAATCCGGTAGTGGGAGGGGCAGGAGAGGCGGGGGGAGGGGTGTCTGTCTCAAGTGGTTTGAAGACACTAGCTCTCTCTCTGCATGTAGCAAAACCAACGTGTTGTCCGTTAGATCCTCAGGGATCATATCTGCGCCCATATCCTTCCACCGAAGGGGAGGGCAAGGGGAGGGGAGGGGAGGGACAGGGAGGGAGGGGGAGGGAGGGAGGGGGAGGGAGGGGGACAGAGGGAGAGAGTCAGAGAGAGCGAGAGAGAGTTAGATCACAAATTCTTATGCCATAGCTCATTGAGAGAACTGTTCCAATCATGCGATATATACGTAAGAGATCGTACGGAAGAGAACATCACCATCCGGCTTGGCAATCCCAGTCGCCACGTCTCGCACAGGCTTTTGCGTCTCTTGCTCGACCGACGCGTACACGTCCAATCGGCCGGGACCTCGATGTCAGCCGCGGAGATGCAATACTGTTATCCATGTCAAGCGTAGCATTACCTTGGGGAGGCTTCATCAAATCATGCACTCAGCACGGAACGTAACCAGTGCAGGATTACAGCATCAGCACGGTTGCAAAAAGCAAGTAGGTGAAATCCGAGAGAAAAGTCGAACCGCAGGCACCGTCTCTTGACAAGCACTACGTGGATCTGACCGAGGAAGGGATTGAGAGAGACCGTAAGCCTCAGTAAGCGAGAGTGTGAGAAAGGAAGACAAGGCGGAGAGGGCACAACAGACCGAAACTGTCCAGCAGACGAGACACAAGAGCACGTCAGCGAATCAAGCCATCAAGCAGAGCCTCTTTTCTGCACCTCTTCAAATCCAAAACCTATTCGGACAACTCCGGAAACTGCCTTCTTACCAGAACCTCGGAGCTTCAGATCGAACCTGATTGGCCGTCCATACTCCATATCCTTACAGAACACCCCTGTGGGTTCTACTACCCCTGAAAGCAACCGCTGTAGTAACCCTTGAAGGCCACTGAAACGGGATCGGGACTGTCCAGAGGTAAAGCTGCATATATCGACGCTCTGAGGCTTTGGCCCTGGGAAACGGAAGCAGGGCTCCCGTCGAGCTCCAAATCCACCAGTGCCGTGCGCTGCGGAAGGAGAGCGCCTCCTCCTCCCGGATGGACCAGGCTCCATGGTAACTTTTCAGGCTTCGAGTTCGGGGATGGCGAGGCTTCATAAGCCTATGGGGTTGAGTATGTTATTGTTTTTGGGGGTATGCCTGGTTCCATAGTATGGCTTTCATCATTTGGGTCTTACTATGGGTATTTTGGTGAGTTGAAGGTTGAGGTATTTGTTGCTATGGTTTGGGTGCTAGAGGGTGGGCATGGTTAGAAAATGGAAATGGAATCTGCTAACTCAATATCCCCGCCTCGCTGCGCCATTATGTCCGAGGCTTTGCCCAGGACAACACATCCCTCGTCCACCGTCAAGTTCGGATCGGCCTGTGGAGACTATTGAATCAAAGCGAGTGAAAAAGCGCCAGCATGTCTGACAGGGTGCATCAGGTAACGATGGCACGCTCGGACTCAGTCACAATCAAGAAGACAGTGTCCGCACAGCAGCATGATGGTAGTAGGGTTAGAAAAACAGTTCCCACATCCCATCCTAAACCCAAAGCCGTAAGACCCCAAACCCTAAATCCTGAACTTAAACCTTAAACGCTGAATCCCTAAACCGCAAATCTCAAAAAAAAATAACATCCCGACATGCCGAAACCCACAAATCCGAAGCTCAGAGAAACCTCCAAAATACAGCAACAACTGTAATTGGGGGGTGTAACCTGCAGCAAAGTAAAACTCTGCCCCTGTGATGATGCAGTGGTTTCAACCGCCCTCAGAGCGCCAGTACAACTTGTCGAGTAATTACAAGGACAATACCTCGATCTTCGTACTTAAGATAATGATGATAGCAAGAGCAAGAGACACCATAAATGCAAACGGCATATAAATTAATTAAACCTGCATCCTACATCCTACTATCTTCCATCTCCTTTTAAGTGCATTGAAGAAGTCATAAACCTCATGGTGGATCCGGACGGCTCTTTCGTGCCTTCCAATCGCCTGTGGCCACACGGAGGGCGTTCACCAGATTCCGCTCCGTCGGCGCTGCACGGTGCTGGAGTTTGAGGCACGTCACCAAGGACGGGTTCACCGTCAACACCTGGCTGGGAGGCATCGCATGCCAAAAGACACGTTTTCACACGTGTTCACTGCCTCTCCGTTCGGGTAAACGAAGGACAAGGCATGGCTTCGATGCTCACCTTGACAGCGACACGACGTCAAATTGCGCACACTCCACTGCCTCCTTTTCTCAGTTTATAAGCGTCGACACCCCGCACGACCAAGTACGAAGTGAAGGCACTTGCTGAAAGAAGCACCTTAAGTATCCCTTTCGTTCTTGCGCGCTGTGGCCGTGTGGGGCTTATGAATGAACACAGACGCCATCCTTGCGAGAAGAGCCGAGCATCTCTTCGAGCACCAGAGCTGGGAAATGCAGCAGCGCGGAATTTCGTACTGCCCGTCCCTCTTCCTCGGTAACAGCGGTACAACAAGGCCCAGTGGTCTCCAGGCGTCGGCTTTGCCAGGGGACTTGTCATCAGCCACAGGATCACGAGGCGATCCGCCCATCCTTGCAGCACTTCGTCATCCAAACCGCCACGACAGCCCCATCCGCTTTTTTGGCGAGCTGCGGGACGAAAACCCAGAGCAGCCCACTTGGTGGAGCTGGACGGGTTACCTCTGCCTGGACACCACAGAAACTCGCCCAGCACTCAACAAACATCTTGCAACGTCTTGCTGGCCTGCTCAGCCTTCTGTGGATGCCGCGTGCATCGCCACACAGCGGGGGCCAAGCGGCCGTACCTTGCGAAATCAACCCAGGCACACCGCCTACTCAACACAAGCGGCTGTAACACTCCACACATCTCTGCCGGGGCACAAATGGTGCCCGTGCAGTACATCGATGATTTTCCTTGTAGGTACAGCCAGAACGTAGCTTAAGAATGGTCTCACGCAGCCACATAGCAGCAAGGAAGTGCCTGATCAAGCCCACCAGTACAACACGAGTTTGACTTTTAGGGGTCCAAGTTACGAGGTAAACTCGGCCTGTTGGCCGAGGTTTGCCTGCACAGGAAGTGCCAAGGAACTGAAGCTACGCCCTCTGCCAGAAAAGCCTCCACGCAAGGAACTGAGTGATGGCGGCAGGCTCGATGCACAGCACCTGTAGAAGCCGAGCGTCGAAGTCTTGCCAACTGATAGGGCCTTAAGGCCTCTCTCTCTTGAAAAGGCTTTGATCTCAGTGGAAGCCGGAGCACCCCTCTCTTCGGGCGTCATGTCCTTCACCGCTCCCAGGAAGAAGACCAGATTTCTCAGGGAGTCGCCCCGTGATCCTGCAGAGAGAGAGAGAGAGACTGTAGTGTACAAAAGACATGCAAGGCGCAGGGTTTTTTAGTGCGGACCTGCCTGCACTTCGGTCGAAGAGGCCCAGACTTTGTGGGAAAGCCTGATAACAAGGCAGCATCGGTCACCCCTGCGACACACCAACAAAATCTCACCATCGACTGGCTTTTCTCCGGCCTCGTGCAGCAAGACTACAGCGGACGGTGCAGATCGGCCATACTTGGCAACCTGGTCTTTGCGCACGGATACGCAAATATGTATTTCACCCTTTTGCTCGGAAGTCTCCTCGACTACTCCACGGCTTGGCCTGGCATGTGCTAGAAGTGTACTGCCCCATCAACTACCATTCTCATCTCATCTATATGTCTCCAGTCAGGAACGTGAATCTTAGTGCCAAACCCTGTAGCAACGGAAGAGGAGCCCAGTGGCAAAGGTGTTGGACGTTTGACACAGCACAGCACAGCTCTGACAGCTCTTCCCGCCCTTGACTGAAAGTCAGCATAGCTGGGTCTGGGACCATATCTTCGATGTGACCTCCAAGGAATCTTTTCTTGTCCGGCGCCGTAATCTCAAGTCCTTGGAAATCGCCCCGTATCCATTCTGCCGCTGAAACTCTGGTGCTGGCTCTTCACAGCTCGAGCCTGGCATTCCAGTTCCCTCCAGTGCTCGCGCCAGAACCATTATCAGATGGTACTCCTTGGCGACATCATTCCAACAACTTCTACTTCCACTCTCCCAATGTTGACATCATGTCCCAAGGCTCTGAAGGCACGGGGCAGCTCGCCACAAATCGCGGTGTTATGTGAAGCGCATGGTAATCCTCGAAGATGAACCTTTCTCTTCGCTAAGGCTTCCGTCGGTCAGAAAGACTAAACGCAACAGGGCGAGCAGCACAATCTCATGAACGTCGTCCCAGCAAAGAGATCGACCTCTCCACAATGCTGCCGTCGCAATGCGCGCCTGAACTCACAGGGGCCTATGACTCCGAACGGTGTTCACTGAGATCCTACAGCCCAAGGCCAACGGCGTGACATCAACGGTGTCCAGACTGTGTCCCTCACCAAGGCATCCCGTCGCGACACATGCGTTGAGGTTGCTTTGAAGGACTCGACAGTGAGCTCCCCTGCACGCGGCATGAAAGACACTAAGGCACTAAGGATCAACTACCCTTCAAGCTGATGATCAGGCGCGGTTTTCATGTCAATAGTGCTGGCTGGACACACGACTTGAAGGCCCCAAAATGCAGCCACGTGAAGGAAGCATGCATGAGTTATCTTCATCTTCAGACAACTGTCTCTTGTGGTGCCCTGGGTTCTTGTTAAGGGATTTAATTTAAGTTACCATAATAGGGATCTATAGTAAATAATATGGTTTCCCTATTATGGTAACTTAAATTAAATCCCTTAACAAGAACCCAGTGTCTGGGGCTGTCAGCACGAACACCAGCTTCCCGGTCTTCGGCGCCGCCGTCCGCGCAGGTGAGAGGCTGCGATTCGGATTCGGAGGAACTCCCACGCCTCGCAAGCACTTCGCAGCGGGTATGCTAATCTTGGCCCAACTAGGCCATCTCCCAGACACCTGGCTTCACGCTTCGAGTTGGTGGCACTGCTGGCGTGGCGATGGACGCCCAGGACTTCGTGGGCCCACAAAGCTGCTGCAGCTCCTGGCATGGGAGTGAAGGCACGTCAAAAAAAGGGACTCAACCATCCAGAATCCTGAACAGCAGGGCCAGTAGGATCCTGATTGCAATGATCCCCAAATCTAAGGTGCCCCTGCTTTGAATAAGAAGCTCCCATGTCCACACTATCCACAGCGATTCAGAGCCTCGCCTGCTCCTGCTGCTTCAGCTGTTGAGCCAGTTCAAAATCCTCGTTCTCCACCGCTCGCCTCGGCTCCACGTGATCGGGGACCCTCTGAGCAAGTGATAGTAAGCAAAGAGTTCCACGCGGCAGGGAGAGTATACCAGGTAAGCGAAGTCGCAGTTTGGATTCGGCAAGAGCTTGCAGCTGTTGACGAATCTCCTGCTGAGCCAGACCTTGATTATAGATGGCCATAGCTGCCGCACAAACTTGCACGCAGCAACATAGCATCCAGGTTTCCGACGGTCGGGTTGCGGTGCAGGTGCCTCCAGAATGCTTTTGTGGCGCATGAGTACAAAGACAGACAGAAGTAGATTCGGTCCAGCAGAACAGATGAATCGATCACGTTCGTTCCGTGCGTGAACGGGCATCGAGATTTCATCCCTATTCCCCAAAACCCCCAACCCCGAAACCCTATATGGGCTTTCGAGTTCCTAAACCCTAAACCCTAGATCCTACAACCCAAACCCCAAAACCTAAATCCTAAACCATAAATTCTAAACCCTCAACCCTAAATCCTAAACCCGAAACCCTATAAATCCTAAACCCCAAACCCTGGCCCTGGCCTTGGCCTTGGCGGCCTTCGCAGAGGGCTTCGACGTCGAGGCCTTTTCTTTCGCCTCCTCGCTCTCTGCCAGATTCGCCCGTGCGACCTGCAAGGCGCTGCCATGGGCCCGTAGAGGGTTTTAGGGCTTTCATGGGTTTTCGGGCTTAGGGTTTAGGGTTTTCATGGATTTTCGAGCTTAGGGTTTTAGGGTTTTCATGGGTTTTCGGGTTTAGGGTTAGTCCACTCTGTACTACGATGTACTCCGATGATAGACTGTAGCAACACTCTGGCATGGAAGAAGAGTTTGAACGAAGCCTGCCTCGAAGGCATCTGTCACTGGCGACCACACGTGGCCTGGCAACGGCCAGTGTTGCAGCCTTGAGTAGTTTGTCACATTGTCAACGGATCTCTTACCCCACCTTTTCGCTTCGTGCGCTGCGGGCGTCGAGACTGTCCAGAATCCTGCGGCTGCCAATCCGGGGTGCGCCACTACGTTGTCGCATGCAGACTGCCAGTTGCCATGAAAGCGCTGTATGCTTTCATGGACCACGACATGCCCCTGAGGCCTGATGCCGCTTCGGGTCTGGCTCGGCGCTGGCAGCGCGGGCTGCGCGGGAGGCCTTCACCGAGGTGCTGAAGGGCAACAGTTCTAAATGACGTGTCCCTTACTGCTGCAGTTATTCCTACAGCACAGGCGGTGCGGTGAGTCGCCCAAGCATGACCTGGCTGACAATCACGACAGCACCTATCAGCAGCTGTCATGAATTGTCATAAGGAGCCAAGAGGCTTGTAATCAGAATAGGAGTGATCATGCCGGTGATGAGATGTCAATGATGACGGCAAGAAAGCAAAATCATCTTGTGAGCTCGGTGTCCGAACTATAGATTTGGGAAGGCCTCTGCCACAGGTGTCGGTGCAGATGCCTGTGGTGCCTGCGATTGGCTTCGCTGAATGGCCTGCGCCGCTGGCGTTGAGTGATAAGTTCGGGGGGGCAGGCTTGGTCGGCGTTTAGCTGTATGGGTTCCGGACCGTGAAGCCTTGAGATTCAACTCTGGGTCGATACAAGTGGTAAGAAGTGTACGCAACGAGCAGGAAAGCCTGCTCATGGCCATAAGCAAGAGGCACCGGCATGTTCACTTCTTCCAGCAATATATACTTGCTTTGTCCACGAGAAAGCACTGCGCATAGGGATGGCTGCACCTTGATAACATGCCCGAGGCAAAGAAGCAACACCAACAAGTCAGAACATGCACCCGGCCTTGCCCGAAGATGTAGATGCAGATGGGGCGGCACCCACCTGAATTTGTATTTCGCTGACTCAGCCATGAGAGATGGATATTGATAATGACCATTCTGCCCTCCCGCTTCCTGCCTTGAACCACCCCCACCTCCCACCCCATTGGACAACTTGAAGCCGCGCCTCCTCAAATTTAGGGTCTGTAAACCACTGTAAGGCAAACCTACCCCTGAACCCTAAATCCGAAACCCCTGAACCTCGAACCACAAACCCCAAACAGCCAAGATTCATGAATTGGCCAAGTCGGTCTCGACTCCTGGAGCTTAAGTTCACTTCAGTTCTCGTCTACAAAATGTAGAGTTTAGGTTGGGGTGTAGGACGTTGTGGCTTCTGCAAGTGCATTATTCCTCAGGTTCCTATCTCGAATGATCTGTCGGCAGACAAGATGCTCGTAGGCATGAGAACCCTTGCCCCAGGACAGCATGATTCTGCCCCGCACAACTTGCCACTTTTATATACAGCTCCCGTTTACCTACGCTTTACCTTTACATCCTAGAGCTTCTTGGAGAAGGCCCTAACACGGCACGAGCCATCCGAACTTCACAACACCCAGCCGCCGCCTGCTTCACCTCCGGCGCGGCCACGGCTGCCTCATCTTTAGCCACTGCCGGCCCAGCGGCAGCCACGGACGCACTGCCAGGCGTGGCAGTGGTGGCCGAGGCGGCTGCAGCTGCTGCTGATGTCGCGGAGGCCGCCTGCAGGTGCGAACTGAAGTCACTGCCTGGCTGCCTGGCACCCGTCCTTGTCAAAGCCCTCTCAACATTCGGAAAGAGCCTCTGGACTTTCGCACGAAAGCTTCGTATGTTCTGACCGAGTATTGCCGACTTGAAACACTCAAGCCACAACCAACCAACGCCACAAGTGCAAAAAGAAAAGGCTGGGAATGATGATGGCTACATCTGCTTATCTTTCTACATTTCTACCGGTGATTGTGGTGCTGCGCTCATGTTTCTCACATGTCGTTCTTGCTTTGCTAGATGGGCCAAACACCCGAATGAGGTTTGGCGGGTCTACTTTGTAAAAAATCATTTCTGTGCTTTAAGGTGACACTTCTACCAATTATCCAGTGCCCTACGTTGCTGTCATGGCTCTGTCTCTAAACCCTAAACCCCAAACCGCATGCTCCCGGCCTGGGCAGAATCGAGCTTCCTGTGGGGCACCTGCTGGAGTGTTCTGTCCCAGACAGGTCCAGATCTTGGTTTGGGTTTTAAGGCTTCACGGTTTTGGGGTTTAGGCTTTAGGGCTTTAGGGTTAAGGGTTTAGGGTTTGGGAATTCAGAAACCCGGAGAGATCCAGCTAATCTGGTCAGGACAGGTGATGTTTAGCTATGGAAAGACCGACAACACACCTGGTGAAGTACCGGGGGCCTGAGCTTTTGCTCTAGCACCTGCTGGCACACATTAAGGCCCCAAGGAAGTTCGTCTGCGTGTCCATGGAGTCTTGGCACATGTGAGTCCCGTCCGGCTCTAGTATCATCAATGCAGCTCAAATGCGAAGCGTGCAACGAAGCCCATGGTGCCCTCAGGCCCTAAGGCCCCAAACTGCAAGGCCCCAAAAGACTGCACCTGCAGGCTGGCCGCGGTTCCGGCCGGGCGGGGCTGAAACGCTGGCCCGCCAGCATTCCCGCCTGCAGTTTAGGAGCTTGGCAGGATGAGGCAGCGGAGGAGGAAGAGGAGGAAGAGGATGATGCGAATGATGATGCTGAATGATGCGTGACAATGACGAAGATTCGGAGGAGGAAGATGAAGAAGCAGAGCAAGCTTCGGTCGCTGCTGTTGTTGATGATGGTGGCGGTCGAGGGCGCGGGTGAGCCATGCCCATGCCCTTGAGGTTGACAAGGTTGACTACTTCGGCCACCATCCCACACCTCGAAAACGACCCCACAAGAAGATAACGCAATGTGCCATTGGGGTCCACAGCTGGATTCAGTTTCTGTGCGCTAAATCTGGGAGCGCAACGTCAGCCAACCCTGACACACTGATTTTCGTTGGTGTCGATTTGGGGCTGTCAAGATCTTCCGGCCGATGGGGCCTGTGATGATGGGTCCACTGCGAAACCTTCTTGGACGTGCACGTAGGCTTGGGTGGATTTTCAGGTTTAGAGCTTTGCCGCAGGTGAGACCTGCAGGAGCAGGGCCACGTTCTGCGCCGGGGCTGGGCCCTGTCACGTTCCGCTTTGCGGCACCTGTCATCGTCAACAGCGTCACACCGCTGCACTATCCAGCTTCAGATTCAAGCAGCATCTGAGGACACACGACATCACACGACTACGCCCAAGCTGCGACTCAGCTCATCTAGGCCCTAGAGGCTCCAAAAACACACATCCGGCCCCAGGCGTTCCTGGCTGTCGCGGTGGCTGAGCTTGCTGAGGTTGCGCTGGAAGTGGCGCCTTCTTTCGCTGGCTTCGTCTCCTGCTTAATGTGGATATGCTCTACAGGAAGTCACAGGTGCCGGTGCAAGCACTCACACCCCTTGTTGACACCAGATGAAAGCACCCTTAGCGGGACACATACCATCTCAGCTGAGTAAGTTGAGGTTCAAGACGGAACACAAGCGACGGCTCACGCGTCCTTGACCGCGCCCGGCTCTTGGGCTCGGCACCCTTTTCGTCTTTCAGCTCCTTCACTGGAGTAGGCGGAGTTATCAACACCAGAAATCCAGGGTAAATCCTGAAAGACACGGCTTGAGTGGGGACTGCTGCTGCTCGTGCTGCGCCTTGCTACTCCTGCTACTCCTGCTACTGCTGATACTGCAACGACCACTACTGCTGCTGCTGCTGCTGCTGCTACTCCTACTACTACTCCTACTGCTACTGCTCTTACTACTACTCCTACAACTACTCCTAGTACTACTACTGCGAGAACTACTACGCTACTGCTACTACTACTACTACTACTACTACTACTACTACCACTACCACTACCTCCACTGCTACAGCGACCACCACACGTTTACGACCCCGACCCCAACCCCAACCGCGACCTGGACCACGACTACAACGACGAGTAGTAACACCACCACAAAAACGACTGCTACTCCTACGACTACTCATGACTACTCCCTTGCACTGCCATTGCCACGAATTACTGCTACCACCACCACCGCACATGTAATAAACTCACATTGCCATGTTCCCCACTTTTCTAGATCTTCTAACTGCTGCGCCGTGTCGAAGCAGCTGATACGTGCACCTACTGCGTGCTGCGTAGCAGAACTTGAAAGCGGTGCTCGGGGACGATGACACCGATTGCATCCTTCTCCAACGTCTTGGAGAGTGCTTTGATGGAGGTGCGGAGCCTTTTCCTCAGAACAGGGATCTTCTTGTGCCCAAGACTCTCTACATGAAACGGAAGCTGCGGATCTCAGTCTCATGATGCTGGCATGTGGCTCTTCTACCAAACAGGCCACCAACTCCGCCTGACTGTTTCAGAGCTTTCTGCATGAGAAGTTTGCAACCGAGCTTCCCTTCCCCCCAGGGTGCAGCATCTTCCGTGATTCGGTGCTTTTCACAACATATGTCGAGCATACAGCATACATACAAGATTAAATTCTTCTTGTCTTCTTCACACTGACAAGATGGAAGGTCTTCGCCCTCGATGCGTCCGTGATGGTTTGGTGACTCCTTTGACCAGGTGGAGGCCTTTGAATGAGATTGTCTGCGATGTTCGACACACTGCTTCCTAAGTCTGTAGATGCCTTGAGTTCCGACTGGACAAGGACCCGCGACGTAATGTGGCGTTCCACCTCCGTGAGGCGTCGCTGCAAAGAGCTCGTGAGGGAGAGCGCAAGGTCTCGGTCGCCAAGGAGGCAGCTCCTTGTTATGGTTGCGAGTGCAGATACCGGCCACAGGCAGGTGAACTTGAGTTCGCACTCACCTCTCAACTCTCACAGGTGCACCTTGTGTGACATTAACATGGACATAGGGGCAAAACAAAGTCAGGAGCAGTTTCCAGAAATCAAGCAGGTGTAGCTGAAAAAGGACCTACTGTCCGGCAGCTTGGGTGTCGCTTCACCTCGCTCGCTTGTCCTGTCTCCGAGAACAGAACACCTGCAACCAGGCGTCAGTGCCAGAAACAGCAACTCGGCTTGGCGAGCCACCGGCGGGCGCATCTCCAGAGCAGCCTCGCCGGAGGTCGAAGTCGGCGCGGCTTGCTGAATGCCTGAGGAGTAGCTCTTCCAAACAGGCAATCTTTGCCTAGATCTGGGTTATCTTCCCCGTTATGGTGCCCTTACAGTACACATATGGAAACCCTTGTAGCACCCTTCAGATCCAAGCGGCCCAGAAGCTTCAGGGCTTCGGCAAGTCTCTGCCGCAGCAGCGAGGACGAGCCAACCAACTGCCGAAGCTCTGGCAGTGGCAGTTGCAACAGCATGCCCACCACCTCACCCAAGTACAGGTTTAGGCTTCAAGTTTGGGTGTGGAAGCACTTGATTCCGTTGCTCACTGGGAATCAAGTTGAAAGAAGTCCGAAGCTTCCGGCTGCAGAAGAAATTGAATCCTCACCTGTGAATGCATCGCAGGCCGACTCCGACATGAGGCTTGTTACACAGGCCCTCTCCCGAAGTAGCCGGTTGATACCGTCGATCCCTCCCTGGAGCCATGGCTTCCCTGCCTTGGAGCTCATCTCCACAGGGCTCTCCTTGCCCAAGAGCATCTGAAGCTTGAGGAAGAGCAGCTCCTTTTTGAAAAGAAGAGCTGCGAAGATCCCACTCCCACTACCCGGTGACGCCTGGAAGCTGAGGAGCCTACATGCCTTGCTTGCCTGTCAAAGCAACTTGCAGCTGAGGGGCGCCGAGGAGAGTTCCTTAGTCCATGCGATCACGCTGCAGCACTGTACGCGCGCCTCTCTGCTCCGAAAAGTCCAGGCCGGGCATCTTTCCCGCTCCGGCGACGGTGGCTTAAACGAGACCGCTGAGACCTGGAAGCTTCGAGGCACTCAGGGGGTGAAACAACGCTGAGCTGCATGGACGGAGCAAGACCCCAGCATCGCGATGCAGCTATCCGGGTTGCACCCTCGAAAGTAACATCACAAATATGGGCATTGACAGACTATCGTCATACTGGCAGCGAAGAGAGACGTGCGACACTGTCTTGGCAAGATGCTTTGCTGCGATTTTTGACATGCTCCTCGTCGTCCTCCTCCTTCTGGTCTTCATTGGACATACCAGTACCGCCCTCCTCACCCTCGGCAGTGGGAGTCATGGCAGCGACGAGAAAGCTACATTGGAAAACTGTGCAGTGTTCCGCACTCGTGTGCTTCAACGAGTCGTCCGCTAGCCTCGACTCTAGCCTACCAAAACGGCTTGCACAATCGCACGACCTCTGTGCAATGAACATGGAAGCTGTTGGAACAGCTGCGGTGCAAATGCATGCAAAATACGAATACTCCGATAGGAATAGTGATATTAAATACCAATACTATTACTAATAGTCATATCTGCTAGTTTTTGCTTCTGGGCCTTGCCAAAGTCTTGAGCTCTCCCCTGGATTGTATATCCTGATGACATATTCCTACCATCTGCAGATCTCACCGTTGGGCCTTTTTCCTCCTTCTGATGATATGGCAATGGCCGAGTTGCCCGACAGAACGGTGAGTCTCCTGGTATGCGAGGACTGTAGTGAGGCCGCCCCGGAAGTTGGGGGATTCCAAGGCCAGGCCGCTGTAGACAGGGGGTTCCCTGGCAAGGATGGGTGTTTACACTTGGAGCGACCCTTACAGGGTGCGAGGTTTGGTTGTTGGACACCCTTGCTTCTCGTCGAGCGGCCGGCAGAGGCCGCGAGGATCCGACTACATGCTGACGCAAGCGCGCGATGAGTGGGAGCGCCCCCATTCGCAAAGAAGCGCACCCACCGCGCGCACACACAGTATGCGCACCGTAAATGTGATGTGCCGCACTCTCCGATTCAAGGCATGTGGCACGAAGCATTCCTCATTTCGAGTACAGAAGCCTTTTTAAGGCGAGCAGTAATTAGCCAAAAGTGCTGCGTACGCGATGTTGAGCTTGGGGAGTAACCGTCGGCAGTAGTGAATAATGCCGTGGCGGTGAATATGGGCGTGAGTAGGGAATAATGCTATGACGATTAACATGAGTATTGGAACAAATGTTAGCTCTGCTAGCAGTACTTCAGAGTCAAAAAAGTTTTGTTGAGGCCAATATCAGGTTTGCCACTTCGGCCACTATTGGATTTTGCATTGAAGGTGGCGTGAATTTTTACCACGAAGGTGAATCGTAGGGTTGCAATAGAAGAGATATTGGGTCCTCGTTTAAAATCATTTCTCAGTCAGGTTTGAGGGCTTCAATATCCATACTATGCGTGGTCAGTATTGCGTTTTTTAGTTGTCAGCTTCATTCCGATTCTAGAGGGCTACGCGATCACGTTGGCACTCATAGTAGGGTAAATACGTAAAGCCGTGTCATGCTTAGGCCTTCGGATACGACCACTATTACTACCAGGAATTATGTTGGGGCTTCCAGTACTACGGAAAACAACCGTACATGCTAGTGTCGTTCATCGTGGATTTGATTAGCATGCATCACCATTACAATCTCATTGCTAGCCGAGGTATGTTTGCGCTAGTCTTCATTCAAATCACCATCATACTGAAAGGCCTTATATTTGAATAAGAGGGCTGAGTTCATTCCGCAGCTGCGCTGCACTACTGCGAAGCCCTTTGACGTTCGCTCCGGAGTTTTGAAGCTCAACCCGGAGTCTTGAACTTCAAATCTCACGGATCCAAGATTCAAGATTCAAGGTCCTGGAAACTTTGTCCTGGAATCTTGAATCTCGAATCTTTGATCCGGGAGCTTTTAAGTTCAATCCTCGGGATTGAGGCCTCAGGACTGAAAGAGCATAGGCACGCCTGAAGTAGCCTGAAGTGCGCGTGGGAGTCCTCAGGCTAGCGTATGCACCGCCACACTTTTCTTGATGAGCTTTAAAACCCACCCAAAACGGTAGATAACTGAGGGGGTGTCATATTTTCATACTATATACTTAAGTATTCTAACTGTATCTTCATAACTATAATAAGTACTTAAGTACTTTGCTCTTTCGCCCTCTGCCAAGCAGAAGCTAGTTTAATACCAATACTAATCGTAGTGTTTAATACCAATACCAATACTAATACTAGATTAATTTAAATACTAATAATTACTAATACGAATACATACTAATACTATGGGACTCATGAAGCTGCCCCGCACGAGACGGCTTCGCGAGGCCCCAGCGAGACGTTCGAGCTTCAGGAAAGCAGGGACCCCAAGTAGATCCCTATACTGAAGCATAGGATGTAATGTGACCCGGAATCATGATCAGGACTCCTCAATACACATGAGCACAACGTATTTTGCTTGTGCATTCATCGTGCTGAGTCAAGCTCGCAAGAGATGATGTTGCTTCCAACCTTTCCGCCGCGAGTTTCCCGCACCTTCCGAAAATCAGCGCGCAGAAGTTACTCCGCCCAGCTTCGCTGCAGCAAAGTCCCTGTCGCTGAGAGGCAGATGAAAAGATTCATGATGTGACATAATCAGGCTTGGACGATTGCGAGTGCTGTGCTCAGCACCGAACGCTGGAGCCTGTGCATGAGAATTGCTTCAAAAAGCCTTGGGCGGCATGACTTCCAGTCTTCACCTGCATGCAGATGCTCGAGGTGCTGATCTGCAGATTGCAACTCTTGATCCAAAAGGTCGAGCATGGGCGTTCTTGGAACCATGGCCCTATACTCCCTCCTCTTGCTCTGCAAATGTCCCCTAGCTGCCTCAAAGGCAAAGTGGTCAGCATCGAAGACTGCCTCTTCCCGCGCCCGGCCTGCTTCCAGACGTTCCAAGTGATCGCGCACCTCCAAGTTTTCAGTCAGGCCTTCATCTCTCTCAAGGCCGCTGATGTTGCGTCGGAGGCTGATGCTTTGCTCCGCCATGACGTAGCCTTGAGAAGAGACGGCGGCTTCTAGGAGAGTGATGCTGCCGTCTTTCATCGGAGCAGTGGATGGCACAGCCAGCTTCACCAGAATATCCCTTCTCTCGCCGATGCTCAGATCAGGTATTGTCACATGCCACGTCGCAGGATCACTCCCACTACAGTAGCAGTCAAATGGGGTAAGTATGTCCTCGACCTCGAAACGAGGCCTCAGCACCACCTCGATCTGCTGCGCGACAACACTGGACAAAAGGCCAACAAGTCTCGCAAGAGCTTCTTGGAGCAAAGCTGCTTGCTCAAGGAATGTGAATGGTGTCTTGGATCTTAGGGAAAGCTCTGGCAGCGCATCCATGCCTTCATCAGATGCAAGCGCGAAGGTGTACAGGCTGCAGGGAACCGCAGCACACCGGTCGAGCAAAAAGTCCATGTGATCCTGCAGGGCTCCATCATCAGTTGAAGACAGCAGGCCGATTCTGCTTCTGAAATCGGATCATGTACGCAATGTACACATGATTCAACCCCACCTGTTTTGTTTAGACTGACGGGGCTCAGATCAATACCGTTAGACTTAGACCGCGGATGTACCATGGCATGGCAAAGGGGTGGGGTTTCGAGGGTCACTGATAACCGGCATTGAGAGTGAGCGTTCCAGGTAAAACCTAGAGACTCTACTTGTTCGAGGGTGCAGCAGGACTGTACATGCAGCCTAGTAGTACTGAAGTGACTGCACAGATGTCCTGCAGCAGGGCATCTCCACCGCATGCAAGCAAGACGATTGCTGACACCGCAGCCTCTGGGCACTCCGACGTGTTCTCCATGCACTGTAAGGCCACAGCAAGCCCACGCGTGACGTCGGCATGTTCTCCTGTCTGCACCGCCTCGAGAGCCTCAACCACCCGTTGCTTGCCCTCGTCATCCATGTGGGTTAACTCGAGCACGACTCCTCCATCATCACTGGAGGATGCCACAATTCCCAGCTGATCTTGTGGCACAAGCCATTGGAGCATGTCACACAATGCAGTCTGGACCGAGCTTTGGTGCTTCGACATAGATGCAGAAGCATCCAACATGCAGACTATTCTCAACGGGACACGGTGTAAAGCTCCCGGAGTAGAAGGGACGATCGTGGCCTCCAGCGTAAGTTGGCCACAAACGATGGCGTCATCAAAGGGCAACTCCAAGTGTTGCATCACGCCACTCAGTTGCAGAGGTGACCTGTCTAATGCTACACTCAGCAAGCCCAACAAAGACCATTCCGGAGGCTTGATATATTTTGGCTGTTCAACAACCAGCATCAATATCCTGGCCTTGCCTCCAGACAACACGCATGGTTTGACAGGAATGCCATGCAGTGTCTGCTGCGCCTTCTTTAAGTCCAAGCGTTCAACAGGCTTGACACACATGAAACGTTCGGCAATGCTGGCACCTTTCCAAACAGATAAAGGGCTGAGGTTGTGTTTCTTGATTAAGTTCATGTCCAGCGCCACAAAAAAGACTCGTGTAGATTGATCTGGGCTCAACCACCGAGGAAGTGTGAACTCTACGTCGAGCTCGTATGGTAAAGAATACGCGAACTCCTGCACTGGAGGCTTGCCTTTGGCCGTTGGCGAAGTTCGAGCATCAAGCAGTCGAAGTGTCGAACAGCTCGTCAGCAACCTTTCACGAGAGATGGACGGTTCTGAGCTGTGGTGTGTCGTCGCGAAATGGCGCATGCTTGGCAGCGGTGTAAAGCCGTGGGGACAAACGGTCTCATGCCTTACACTGGCGGTACACGGGGCTGGCTGATGCTCAAGCTTGCGACCACCGTCGCGGTCAGATTTCTTGAAAGTCCGGCTCTTTGCATGCGGCATCCCATGAGGGAGGCAGGCTTCAACCGAGAACAGAAGTGGTGATGCATTAACCTCCGTTTGTTACAAATAGTGCTCAACAAATAACCTACTTGGCAGCCACCTGCTGCAAGTTCCCCACATCCGGAACCCAAGCCCTAAAGTTCCTAAACCCGAAAACTCTCCAGGAGCCGAAAAGCTCCGGCTCGCTCGTCCCTGGGTTCGAATAGGGTTCAGGGTTTAGAGTTTAGGGTGTGCGCGTCAGCGCAGACTGAAGGTGTGGATGCGTTGATGGCATCAAGCAGCGAGTGCTGGCGCTCTCACACTCAGAAGGGCTCAATTGCAGCCTTTTTTCCATACAGTCAAGCGCTGCTTTGCGCACAACACGGAACACACCTCGGGCCGGTCAATCGACACGTTTTCCCCGGATGCTGTTCGTCAAGGAGTGCAAAGTCAAAATCGGCACCCTTGCAGGTAGGCTAATATGTCGAGGTGCGTCTGCAGACGTACTTGTGGTGGGCTCCGCCAGGCAAGAATGGATGAGAGCACGAAATGCCCCCAAATTTGAAGTTCTCCACAACTTGACCTTCAGGAACGCCGTTGGCCAGCATGCGATGCAGGGCGTCCTTGAAATGCTCAGCCCAAAGATTCTGATCGTTGGCATATTCCTCAACAATCGCAGACATTGGGTTGTCCCCTTCATCAGCCAGCATGTTGCGCGGGCACTTGCTGTCGATGCCGAAGGCGTGGTTGCTCTCGCAGTTCAATGGGGTGCCAAGCTCGTTCACTCGAATATCCCTGTGCAAAGCCATGTCAGACACAAGCATGGTCTCATGCTCGGAGAAATTCTGGAAGCACCTTCCTCGCTCGAAGATGTCCTTCTCCTCCGCGGTCAAGCCTTGAATGTCGTACATCGGCCGATCCTGGATCAGCGGATTTTCTCTGAGGTAGGTCACGCGAGTTGCCTTTTTGCACAAGTCGCAGCATGGATCGCGGCGGATGCAGTGCATGACGGTCTTGCTCTTGTTCCCTTCCAGCGCACAGGGCTCGACTGTCCGGTTTTTGCGGCCTAGCCCCACCCATGGGAGGCTGGTACCTTCCAGCAAGATCCCATCAGTTGTGCAGTACGGGCAGCGCTCATAGACATGAAAATACTGGAAATGGCCGCCAGCGACATCCTTGCCATCTTGGTGCATGAAGAAGAATGTACGTGGGGCCGAGCCGTTGGGACCCCCAACGGCAGTTGGGAGGGTAAGGGTAAGCCCCCTTTCGACCCCACCTCTCGAAATGCTTGGCATTCATGCTGCCAATGATCCTGTAGTACACTGCATTCAGCTGTTCTTGCTGCATGTGGGTCCAGTCATAGCGGAAGGCACTTACCTGAACATGCACCGCGCCGAAGCTATGGGCACCCATGATGGCAATCGTCTCGCGCTTGGAGAAATCGAAGTTCTGTTCGAAGTAGTCCGCAAGTTGCTGCCCGTTGAAGGTGGTCCCGGGGAAGGCTTCGGGAATCAGCGATTCGTAAGGCCGGGGCATGTGCTTCCCATCGAAGGCCGGCTTGCAGACGTCGCAATCATGGCATTCGGGACGCTTGCAGACCTCGTCGTAGCTGCATGGCCGGCCACCTGGCTTGCAGACTGGGTAGGGTGCGTAGAGACGCCCCGTAGCATTGCAGGAAGAGGCGCACTGCGGCTGCGGGACGGGCTCTGCTGAGTCACGGCGGCCAGAGAAGAACGTGAAGTCGGGCATGGTGATGTTGCAGGGCAGCACGGGCCACTGGGCATACAAAGCCTCTCCCTTCTGGCAGGCTTCGTTGTTCTGGCGCATGCCAATCCAGGCACTCGCCGTCGCGGCGAAAGCCCACAAGTCCGCTCGCGACTTTCCGGACTCTTTCAAGGACTTGTTGAGTGGAGGCGCCATAGGTGGCCAGTCGGCAAAGGTGTAGAGCCTCTCCAAGGAGTCCGCCAAGAGAGCCATGTTGGCATTGTGACCCGGCGAGTTCTCGATGGCGCCCTCCTTGGGATGGCACTTGGGCGCCACTCCCCTGCGGCGGCTCTCTTTTCCACCCCGCCGAGCTGGAGCCGCCCGTTGCAGCCGTGCCATCTTTGTACTTCATGCAACTGTGGAAGCCAAAGCGCAGCAGCATGGGCCATGTGGGAACGACCCCTTGGTCTGAGAAGTGGTTTCGCCAGTAGGTGCATGGCACTGATTGGTGATGGGTATCATTGGCGTCAGGGCCGTCTGTGAAGCATTCAATAGTCGACCTCACGAACCCACCCTTCGAACGGATACTTCCCAAAGAGAGACATCAGCGTGGAAAGTGCCACAAGTGCCTCCTCCTCGGTCCACTTCGCACCTCCGGGTGTCTCCTCCAGACCGTCGGTGGTGAGCATGCCATCGAGGCCTTTTCTCATCTTGGAGTCACGGGCATGGTGCTGGATCAGGGAGCCAGCCTGGGCGGCACAAGCGGAGTCGCCTATTTCGGCACAAGGCCCGTCCGCACGCACCGCCAGCCACAGCTGGGCCGAGATCAAATAAATCGTCCTCAGGGCCATCTCGGAAGACGGGAGTGAGGGAACGGTACAGCGCGAGTAAAATTGGCAGAAGCTCTACACTTGAGCCGCTGGGGCGATTGCAGCATGCCCATGCTTCAAGGCGGCCTTGGGTTGACACTTGGACAAAAGGGACCATGTTTCACAAGAGTTTTCCAGATGCAGCAATAGCGCTTCACCGCATCGTTTTTCTTCGCACGCACTGCCGCGAACCATCCCAGCTCTGCCAAGGCAAGCTTGCTAGAAGCACCAGTCTAGAGTGGCACAATGGGATACATGCCCTATCAGTCACTTTGAGAAAGAATAATGGCTCGTTGCAGTGCGACTGGCCCTTTGCCTTGCGGCTCTCACAGCGGCGAGATCGCAGGTGCCTGCGAATAGGGTTGCATTGTTGCAGCAGTGCTTGCTGTGCTTCTTTCTCTCGTGCGAGATCCACCGGCATGACAAGCGAGACAATGCAAGACACTTGATCAAGAGAGTGGCAGCTGGAACTGCAGTTGCAAGTAGCAGGTTAGCATAAAGTCTTGCGCCACACTCATGAAACAAGCACTTGCCAAACCCCAAACCCTGAACCCTAACCCCTAAACCCTAAACCCTAAACCCCTAAACCCTAAACCCCTAAACCCGTTTAAGCCGATCCTTGCCCGGAAGCGCCAGGGAAGGCAAGGACTCCGCCACGATCGGCTCAGCATCTGCAGAGGCAGAAACGGAGGCTCAAAGGCTGCCATCAAGACCAACTATTATATATAATATTATCCAACATTATATATAATATTGTATAATATTAAATAATATTATAAAAATATTATACAGTATTATAAAATATGTTAAAACAATATAAAGTATTATACAATATTATATATAATATTATATAAAATATTATAAAAATAAAACAATATAGTATAAAATATTTTAAGACATTATAAAGTATTATACAAAATTATATATATTATATGATATTGTATTAAACTAATATTATAAAAATATTGTAAGATATTATAAAATATGTTAAAACATTATAAAGTATTATACAATATTATAGTATATTAAATCATATTATATAATATAATATAATATTCTAGTATTTATCCTGCCCTGCAGCATTTCTGAAGATTCCCGACTCGAACGACTCGAATCCTTCACCGGCCCTCTAGGAGCACAGCTGGACAAACCAGGAAACAGAAGCAGAAACAGCGTCTCCAGGGTAAACCTTCTGCGCAACAAAACGCAGCTGATCGCCTTCAACAGCCCAAAGCCTGAAGCAACATCCCAGAAAACACGAGACGAAGGTAGAGTGCAATGACATCGAAACTGAAAACGTTCGCGCCTTCGGGCATGTAGACCGTGGCGTGTCCGAACATTTGCAACAACTTTTCCACTTGGGCCTCAAGCGAAGAACTCGTCTGCTTGTGCATCTATCCGAGAACAACCCGTCTGCACGCTCGCCGCTACGTAGGGTAAGGCAGGCAGGTGTGTGTGTGTGTGCGCGTGGTAGTCACAGCTTTGCGTGGAGCTCAATGACGTGTCAGTGGAAGCAGTCACCTACCCTGCGAGTGACCCTTCAGACATGGCATGGGGATGAAGGACTGACAGGCAACGGTGCTGCACATGCTGCCAAAATCATCTGCGCTCCAAACTTCTCTTGGCGATTGGTCAGTTGCTGGTAGCAGCAGACGAATACAGCCCTCGCCCAAGCATTTGCAAAGGCCATCAAGTAGCTTTTTGCAAAGCCTTAGCGGCGCCCTTGCCCTGCCCCACGGGAGCAACGTTGCAGAGGCGGGCCGTATCAAACGTGGAAGGCCGTATCAGCGGAAAAAGAAGACATTAGATACTGGGCGCATGGCCACAGAGTGCAGGAGTTCCTTCTCTCTGCGCTTCTGGCCGACAGTTTCGATCTTGAAGGGGAGCAGAGACAAAGCCCTCTCCACCTGAGCCGGGCAAAAAAGAGAGGCCAAAGCCCCTGCAAAGGCTGCTTTGCCGGGAGAAAAGCTGCTTTGCCTTCACTTGCTAAACGTCCCCATGCGACAAGCAGGTCGCCTCCACCTTCCGTCGCGTTAAAGCCTTGCGGTCACATGGTGTGGATTCCAAGACTGTGCAAGTTCGGACAGAGATCACGCACGAAATGCGTTCAGACACAGCCTGGCCCACAGCTTCTCAACAATCAAGAGATCCCCGGGTGGATCCTTGGAAAACAACGAGCTCTTCGCGGGCCTCCAGGGTGACTTGCCGCTCTGCCTCTGGAACGCGCCTGTGAATGGCTAGCAGCAGCAGCAGCAGCAGCAGGAGGAAGAGGAGTAGTAGTACTACTACTACGACGACGACTACTACTAGTAGTAGCAGTAGCAGTACCGGTGGCAGTGGCAGCAGTAGCAGCAGTAGTACTGAGGAGAGGTGGACGAGTTGGTGGAGGTTGGTTTCATGATGGTCATGGTGTTCATGGTGCTTTCGTAGCGGTCGTAGTGGTCGCGGTGTTGGTGCCGGCGGTGGTCGTCGTCGTAGTCGTAGTAACCTTGATCCATGCGGGACTACGAAGAATAACAATGACAACAGCATGTGGTATAAGCTACTGAGATTGATAGTACTCACAGTCTTCTGCAAGCATTGCAGGAAGATTTGTGCCTCAATACAGTGTCGATGTAGGACACAGGCCAAAAAGGTGATAGGACCAAGAATATCAAGTGCAACACGAACGAATAGTCCGTAATCAATCATAAGATCTACAAACATATGCAAAAGAAACAATCCGACACGCGACTGCATCTGGACGGAGCTCACAAGTAGCCTCGAACATGCATCTTGCACATTGTTTTTCTCCTTTGCAAGTGCTGTACAAAAGCCTTTCTTGGGCAGTGGGTGCGTCTCCCGATGTGCTCCCAGCAGGCTTTGTCGAAACGACGTGTCAGTCGTGAGAACGGCACCCTAGACCTAGACTGCCAGTAGCCCAGGTAGAAGGGTTTGGGAACAGGGTGTCGAGGGCAAGGGTCGGTTCTGAATCGGGCTGGTACGACCTCAGCTCGTGTCATTGAGCTGTCCAGCCTGCTTCAGCAGCAGGGGGTGAAGTACCCGAAAAGTGGGCCTCCACTTGGTGAGGCTTTTGCCAATGCCGGCCGGCAGCTCATGATGAGCTGAGTACGCCAGTCTTTCGTGCTGGTCAGCGGACCAGAGACGGTTGTGGTCCCTGACGATATTTTTGCGCTGCTTGCACTTCTCCCTCGGGCTGATCCTCTCCATACTCTCAGTGGTCTCCGATGTCTGCAGCAGGCTCAGCACGAGACGAGAGTCCCCTGTACAGTGCCCTGAAAGCCAGCTCAGACGGAAGCGCCTGGCACCGACTCACAGCAACTTAAGGCTGCAATTGGCTTGCTGAAGTTGCGAAAGCCAAGCAAGCAGAGCATTTAAGGCAAGTCCCACGGTCCTCCGTCTTGAAAGCAATTTGGGCGACGCTTTTCACGTCTTCTTTCCTGCCAACTCCTGCAGCACTGCAGCTCAAGTGGAACGAGAGACTGACATGATGGAGAGAGTGATATACAGATATTGCAACAAGTAAGCATCACTGCCAAATCCGTGCTTCTCTCTCAGCGATATCTATTCTAGCCTGGTGTTGCGAACCGCCTGCACAAGTTTTGGATGCAGACGGCAAAATCACTGGGTTTCAGCACTGTCCTGCACCTCTTGGCGGAGGTGCTTTGGGCAGAACACCAAAGCCCTGACACAGCTTCAGGAGAGCACACTCGAAGCCACGGCTGGATAGCATGCTGAGCATCTGCCACAGTCAGAACAGTGGGCTGCCACAAGTACGACCACCTCCACCATCGCCACCACCACTCTGCTGCTGCTACCACTACCACCACCGACTGAAGCTACTACCGCTGGCAACGACCAAACTCAAGACTGCTAGGCTGATGGCATTGTCAAAGCCACACACGCACACAACTTCGACATACTGCTACACTTGCTGCACTTCTCACAGATCTTGTGGCCGAGTCCCGGGAGTCGTGCTCAGAAACACATGATGACGACCAGGACCGAAGTAAGCTTTGCGGATTCCAACGTCGCCCCGCTTCGGCCTCGAGTTTCGCTTCAGGGCCTTGGCTGCATTGACGTTTCGCCATGCCAGCTTCCGAGGTGGCCTCGTGTTCTCTGCACTTCGCTTCTCTGGATTCAGGCAAGCTGCTTTCGCCAGCAGCTCGACATCTTGAAGCAAATCAGCTTCGGTGCCCTGTTTCTGCTTGTAGCCGGCCTTACCTGTGCTCAGGTCTGACATTATTCTATGACACCAGCAGCAAGCACATGCGCTGGTGCAGCGCCTGTCTTGCTCCGATCCGGGCGGTTTCGCATGTCGGCTGGGCTGAGCACCTGGTCTAGAGATGTCCAATGCTGGTGTGCTGCGCCGAAGCGCTCAAAAGATTCGGTCCGAAGTCCTCCGGCAGCCGAGGAGCGTGTTCAAGGGCCATGGGATCCTCGCCGATGGCAGCCATCACCACCTGCGAAAGCGTGTGGTCTCATGAGAGCAACTCATCTTATCATCTCTGTCTCTGTCTCTCTGATTTGGGAGTTTCCGGATCCCACTATTTAGGGTACCATATTAGAGTCCCCTATTTTCGGAAACCCCCATGTGGTGCTTTGCACAGAGACTGCAGTGACGGACTGCGACTGCATTTCGCTTCGGATGCCTCGCGGTCCATTCTCAGAGCTGACTCTGCAAACTGTAGGGCAGAACCATACTGTTTCACGGCAAGCAGAACCAACTCCTTGTCGCCTCCTTAGACAAAGGTGTGGATTTCAATGACTGAAATGGGTACCGCCCATACTTGCGAACCGAGGCCTCCACGCAGCTCTCTGGACATGTACTGAAGGGGCGTCACGCCGACCCCAGCGGCACGTTCATGCCAGTTTATCCTTGCTCTCTACACTCCAACAGCAAGGGCCTGCTGCATGTTGCGTACATCATGCAGCATCTGACTCGGGGGAGAGCGGAACAACGGCATTCAAGACCTTCAGAGCCTCAAACAATCTGCGAGAATCCGAGTTCCTCACAGAGCTGACAAGTTCTTGGCGACTCTGGCCCTTGGCACCCCACCAAATCCCTGTCACCCCGAAGCCGCGTGGATGCCCATCGCAAGTTCATCGGGGTCTTCAGCACGGCAGCCTGGTTTCCATGCGGCCCAGGTGGCCACTATCACGTGCTAATATCAGCTTGAAAAAACCGACACACTTCGGCAAGGTCCTCGACACAGTCGCCGTCATCCCGAAAGTCACCGGCGAACTGTAGGGCGTCCCCGTTCCGAGAAAGGCTAAGCGCATGCGGGGCTGAGGCAAAAGCAAGTCTTGTTGGCCCAGCAGCCGGAGACTGTAAGCGGCTGAAGCTTCGACAGCAGTCAAGCGGCAGCTCCAACACAAACTCTCGATCCGCTTTGATGGAGGCTGGCATGTGTTCCTCGAAAGCTCAAGGGCGACCCATCAAAAGCCTATACCCCCTTCTGAGAGTCTGAAAATCCTATGCTGAAGCCAAGCTTCAAGCTCCATGGGGTTTCCAGCAACAAGGGCTCGAAGCACCTCCTCGTCGGCCTGCAGGTCCTTGGATCAGGCCCGGAAAAGGTGTGGCTCAGGGACGCATGAGTCCAGTAGCCCATGCTTCTCCGATCCGCGACATGACCAAAGTCTACAGTCTTCCGTCCCATTCGCATGTCTGCGTGCGCGCATGCGAATGCCACGCGAGATGAACCATGCAACGGCACTGTGACCTGGTACTGGAACTAGTCAGTTCAAATCCCGGACAGAGATCTGTCTTGCTCTTTCTCTTGTTTGGTTCTGTTCCTCGTAGCATTGCATTATTGAATGTAATTACGAGTGTGTCATCCTGTCACTTCTCTCTCCCCTTTGATAGACGATCTTTGTCTTAGCCTTACGCTTTGCTGATTCCCGCTCTGCAAGCAAAACCAAACTGGCAGCTGAGGAGCTTTGTGCAGATCCGACATGCGCGAACATCCGTTCTCGGCGCCTTTGGGGCGAGGGATCTTTCATGTTCTGCCGCGAGGAAGGTCAGGAAGGTATCGAAATCTGAGGTGTTTGAAGGGCGAGACGGAAATGAGTATGCCATGTCCATATCCAGCATGATAACAGGCCGAAGCACACGAAGTAACTTGGACCTGAGGACCGTACAAGCAATGACCACCTCCTTGTCAGAGTGAAGGGCCGCACCAATCATGCCTCAGAGCTGTTGGCCGAGAGGAGCTTCATAAGACCCGTCTACTGTAGTTACCCTTGTAGCAACTCATGTGGTAAGCCTCATAGTAAGCCTGTCTGTCCATTTTTGGTCGGCCTCTTGCTAATCCCGAAGGTAAGCATGATAGCAACGCGCACGGACCTACACCCCAAATCCAGAATCCCGCCCTAGTCATATCGTCTCTTGTCCATGCGGCTCAGCAAGTTCCAGCAGGACTTCTTGGAGACGTGCCTGCAGGAACGGGCAACAGGCGACGTTTAGAGTTCCACCACTAGGGGACATCGTCCACCACCTGTGGCAAAACGACTTTTCTTCGAAACCGCAATGCATGTGAAGCGGGATCTGGTCTGGATTCAGCGAGATCTGCTGAAGTTCACTCCGTTTTCAGCCACATACGTGGCATCACCCGAAGACAAGTTCTTCCAGTTTCTAGCAGCCCGGAGCAAGAGCACCCAGCCGTCCTGGCAGCTAGGAGGACAATCTCACGGTCGGCCTTGAGCAGAAGCCCAGGTAACACGCCGAGTCAAGAGCTGAACTTGTCAGGGCCTGTAGGGTCGCTGGGGCATGTTGCAGGCATTCGCCTGCCATTCAAGGTGGCAGTGGAGAAGCGCGGCGCCTAACGCTGTGCAGACATTTCCGCACCTTGCTGCTCCAGGACTTTCATCGTCAACCTCGGCTGCAACCGACAGGCGACCGTCTCAAGCAAACGGCATACACGAGTGTAACAGGACTCTCAGATTGAAACCGCCCGGCTGCACATGCGGCCTGTGCTTACGTCAGCCTGCACTTCAGAGCATGCGAAGGGGGAGGAGGAACAGCAGGGCAGGACCACACGGTGATGATGATGATGATGATGATGATGATGATGATAACGTGATGATGTGATGATGTAATGATGTAATGATGGTGGTGATGATGATGGTGATGTTTATCGCCCCCTCTGCGCAACTTCCTCGATTTTGCGTACATTTAGCTGCTTTCAGGCCCTCGAAGCCCGCGCATGCCATTGTCTCACACAGCACACCTGGCAGGATACTAGTACTCATATATCGGCTCATGGTGCTAGAGTTTACACTACAAGGTATGATTTATAGCTTATATACCGTTCTTTCTACTCCAAAGCTTCTCGAGGCCCTGGCTCCTTCTGGCTCTTCACCTCCATCGAGAGCTGCCTGTACATCCAAAGGCGGTAGGGGACCACGGCCTCCATCAACTCGCCTCAGGCGGAGACAACGAGACCAACCGTGTACTGAGTAGGATTTGGGGGTTTCCGAAAATAGGGGACCCTAATATAGTACCCTAAAGAGTAGGATCCTTATTAGAAGGCCCCCAAAATAAGGTAACCCTGATTTTCGGAAAGTCCCATTTTGGGGTGTGCGCACCGTCGAGATCACAATTGCAGTGCCTCTCTGCTGGAGGTGGGCCAGCATGATCCAGACCAAAATCACACCTTGCAGACGAGAGTCTGTCTTCCCAAAGATCCATGTCGATGAAGTCCACAAGGGAGATGTCTTTTTTCAGCGCTCTCATCGCAACATCTCCTGAGTCGAAGTTCACTGCAACCAACCGCAACGACCGAGTCGGAGGCCTGCGAATGTGGGCCCGGAGAGGGAAGGCCAGAACCAAGCCCCAAACCACGAACTCTAAATTCTAAACCCTAAACCCCATACGGTTCCGACTAGGAGGCTGTCTCAACTGCTTTTCAACGACAAGTTAAGATCTCGCAACGCGAAGGCGTGGATGCTCTTGCCATCCACAAGGTGAAACGAGTGCCCTGAAAAAGGAGCCTCGAGTCCATTCAGACCCTTGACCCTAAAACGTGAACTTTAAGCCAAAGATGCCCTGCATCCTTTCAAAGGCCTCAGAAACCGCCCCTTAACCCGAAACCCTGAACCCTACATCGCGTGTTGAACGGGTTTTCTGTGCTGTTTCTTTGCATCCAAGAATCTGTCTGCTCGCAGCGCGTCGGAGGCAAACTTGAATGCCTGGCACTTGGGGACGGAGATGGACTGAGGGCTTGGCATTTAGGGCTTGTGGGGCTTAGGAACTAAGGGTTTAGCTGCATATCTATTGGGGTCAGGGCTGTGAACAAGCTACAAACCCTGTTCGTACAAACTGCCTTGCTTCCGCGGGCTTTTCGTGAAAGGCAGTGCTCTTTTCCACGTCACGCGTAAGCGAGACAGCCACTGCGACAGCATTGGAGATCGCAGATCGATACATGGGATAATCCCTGATCAACCCTGCTAACATCGCCAGCAGTGGCAGCCTGCACATTCTGCTCCATAGCAGCAAGAACCACATCCCGGTCCGCTTTGAGCTCCTGGAGACCATGAAGCTTTCAAACTGTGCTGCAGGGTCTTTCGAGCAGCATGAGTTGATTTGATTCAGGGCTTGTGCTCAAACTTCCATCATAAGCCCCTGCTACAATGATCAGTCCTCTGGTGCTTTGCGCAACCGCTTGTAGTCGTTGCCTTCAGAAGCTACTGGAAGGGGGTTTCGCTTGACTGGAATCCAGTCGATCACCTGAGCTACGTTGCGGAAGCCGAGTTGCTGATCTCATCCAGCCAATAGTCAATGTCGTAGGACTGCCACATGGCACAGCAGGCCGACGCACTTTGCAGGATGCAGTTGCATGCGAGAGGGCCTTGCCTGCCGCACAAGCAAGATCTCGACTGTTGGCTCCTGCGAGTGCAGCGCCAGCCATCTTAACTACTAAGCCCTAAGCCTAAGCCTGAATGAACTCCTGGCTGGCTGACTGACGCTGAAGTGAGTTTTGCCCGTCGTTCAGCGCATCCGATCGGCCTATCGCCTATCACCAGGCGAAACCGTGCAAACGAAGGAAGGCCAAGGACTGTGCAACTGCAACTGCCGGAGAGGAGCTGAGAAGGAAAGATGGCTGGTTCGAGTCGGGCAGAGTCTTTGTGACTTCGCGGCTTCTGGCTCTGGACCGCAGCACGCGGTTCATCGAGCAAGCATGGCCAAAGCGCCAGGGTCTGAAGCTGGGTCCGTGCCGCGGAGGAAGCCGACGGTTTTGAGAAATACGTTTAGCATCTCTGGTCGGGCCACGCAAGCTGTTGAAAAAGCGAAACACCAGGTCCTCTGCAGGTAGAACCTCCGTCAGCGGGTCGACGTTTCCTGCGGACTTCTGGCTGACATCGGCAAGGCTTCTGAATCCTTCTGAGACAGGTGCGGATGAGCCTGCTGCCATAGAGGAGCTTCATGCGGCCTGATAGGGTGCAGAGCAAGCCCTCACTATTTCCCGCGAGAGAGAGAAAGAGAGAGCCGAGAGCCGAGAGGAAGAGAAAGCAACAGCATCGGAAGCGAGATATATCAATCTCTATCTCTATCTCTATCTCTCTTCTTCTTCCACACAGTCAAGAGAAGGGCAATGCACCCCCCTCTGCGCG